GGGAGGCTTGGATGAGGAGAAGGAGCAAGGAGAGGAGGGTTTGATAATGCTTGCTAAGGAAAAGAGTGTGAAATCTATGGCAAGAATCACGGAGACCGGCCATACATGAACATGTGCTTTAAATGCGGGAAGTTGGGACACTTTATTAGGGATTGCCCGCAAAGTATAGATAGTTTGAGGCCTTAGGCTCAGGGCAGGGTATTCGCCCACAATAAGTAAGAGGTAAGTAAGTCACCGAAAATGATACAAGGTACGATTAGTGTGAATAATTACCTTGTGCATGCATTGTTTGATTCGGGAGCCAGCCACTCCTTCATATCATATGATTACACTAGGTTCATAGGCCTCACTGTTGATACATTGCTGTGTAATCTGTGTTTCCACTTGTACTAGTGCTAAAGTTTTAACTTTCAGTGTTTGTTTGAATTGTGTTGTCTGGTATGCCTATTGTTATACTCTGTTAGACCTTATATGCATGTCTTTCTGTGATATTGATGTTATCCTTGGCTTGAACTGGTTATCCTCGCATAACATACTCCTCGACTGTAAGAATAAAATGTTAATACTTTCTACCTAAGAGCCGACTCCTTGCACAAAAGTAAAGCTGAATTTAATTACGAAAGCTCAGGTGGGTAGATATCTAAGACAAGATTACCAGGGGTATATATTGTTTTTCATAGATACCATTGCTGTCGATTAGGCCAAAAGCTATAAGTCATGAATAGTATGCATTTAGGCAAGCTAATTGTGAAATGAGAAGGTAAAAGAAGGAAAATAGACCTTTAAGGTGAAAAGAAGGATGGCTAAATATAGCAACACACCTGTTAAAGGCAGATGTTGCCTATGATAATAGTTGCCACTCCAACATACCAATGGCTTTGTGTGAAGCCTTATATGGTAGGAAGTGCCAATCACCACTGTCTTGGACTAAACTAAGAATAAGAAGAGTTTATAGCCCAAGAGTGGTGAATCAAGTTTTAGAGGAAGTAATGATGAATCGACAAAGATTGTTAGCAGTGCAAAGTAAACAAAAAAGCTATACGGGCATATGAGGGAAGCCACTAGAGTTTATGGTTGGAGATACTAACCACAAGAATGGGTCAAACCCCTAAGGCAAAGTAGTTAATGCCGAAGACCCTTCCAAATTTTGTTAAAAGTTAAGTTGGTAGCTTATGAATTGGCCCTATCCCGTAATCTGGATCAGATACATGATGTCTTCCATATTTCTTAACTAAAGAAGTACCAGCCAAATCCCTCTCACATCTTGGAATATGAAGATATAAAATTGCAAGATAACCTCACTTTTGATGTAAAACCAGTAAAGATCGTGGATCAACGAACCAAGAAGCTACAGAATAAGACCTGCCAATGGTCAAGGTGATCTGGAGAGGTCTCATTCAGGAAGAAGCTACATGGGAAAAGGAAGACGACATGAAAGTTAAACATCTAGAGTTATTTGTATAAGGTATGTTTTAAATTTCGAGGACGAAATTTATTAAAGAGGGGAGGAAATGTCACATCTTGTAAAAATTAACCCTGACAATGGGTATGAAAAGTTAAGTCAAGGGCCAATATGGAAGATAGACTGGTTGACAAAGCTAGGCATGACATAAAATCCGGATAGAATCCGAACTGATATTTTTGAAATTATCGATCCAAGAAGGGAAAAATGAGAAAATTGGATAAAAATTCTAGAAAATTCTCAGAAAATGGTAAAAAGAGAAATTAGAGGTTTGCAACTTCAATTGAGGCCCTAAAGGTAAAAATGGTATGAAAATAGCTATTTACAGAATTTTCTGAAAACAGAGGTTTTTCGAGAAAAATAGTGAAAGTTGAGGAAAAATAATTATTTTAAATATGTAGAGGCCTCAATAATTTTGGAAAAAATATGGAATAATTATCTAAATATTTGATTGAATTTTTAAAATTGATTTTAGGCCTTGAAAGTATAGTAATTTATTTTAGGAAATTTATTTCTAAAAGTCTTACTGGTAAAGCCCTGTTCGAAGGAAATTCAAAATAAATAGTTAGAGGTGGAGAAAAATTTTGAAATTTTTCAAAATGCATTCTCATGAGGAAAAATGTGATTTTGGAGGCCTAGAATAATTATAAAAGGTTACAAGTGAACAATAATCGATAAATTTCAATATTCTTGGCATTAAAATTTTATTGTTAGACTATCTTCTTGGAACTCTCCAGATCAGAATTAGGCTTCATATTGAGCCAAGAAAACCCAAAAATTCATGCAAAAACCTATCCCTACATTTAAAATGAAATTAAGCTAAATTTTCACATAAAAATCAATGGAATATTCATGGAATTTTACACATGGCATGATCTGAAATTATAGAGCACATGATGGCTGCCATTTGTCCCCTTATGTGGCAGCTGATCACGCCATTAACAATGGGGGAAAAGGTCTGAATTTTTGCCTATAAATACCCCCCTAAATACATAAAAATAGTCAAAAGTGGGGAGGCGTTGTCAAATTGGTTTCTTGAGCCTTGAAGTGGATCTTAATTAGTGCATTTGAAGGAGGACACACCAAGCTTTGGTCAAGAATTCATCAAGGTAAGCTTGAGCTTTGCTTGGGTTAAGTTTTTAAAGCTTTTTATGATTGGAAATTTGAATTGTAATCTAAGCTCAAGGTGCTGCCATCTGAATAAGCATGCATTAGGGAAGGATACAAGCCTTAAAAAATGAGTTGGAATTATCATGTTTAAGTGGTGTTTGGATTGATTTTTAGAAGAAAACCAAGTTAGAGTCCTTAAGGATTCAATTCAGCCAAGGTGAGTTCTTGGGGTAGGAGTTTGTTTTGTTGTGATTTGATGATTTCAATGAGTTGAAAAGGTGTTTTTGTGTAGGGAAACACCAAGAAAAAGTATTTGGAATCACTGGAATCAAAAATAAAATTTTTGAAAAATATACTACCCCTATTCAACCAAACTTAAATGAATGGGAAGGAGTGTGGTTTTAATAAACCTGAACTGATATTTGGATTCTATATAAAAAAAATCATGTAGGAATAAGCTAAAAGATTGATGGAATTAAAAGAGGAATAATTATATCAAAAATAAAAAAAAAGGGGGAATTTAATAAGGTTTAAGGCTAAGTGTTTGTGTTCAAACTTGAATGGTTGTTAATGTGGCTTGTAATTATGCTTGAATTGATAGGTTTTGTGGAGAATAATCAAGGAGAACTTTAAACCCTTGAGAAGGGTTCAAGTATAATAGGTAGCATTGAATCTATAATTTGATTGTTTTTTTTTTTTTGCTTACTCAATGTGTTTATGTTGCTTGCTTTGTATGGGTTAAATTATGCTATGGTAATGGTTGATTTTATTATGCTTGATATGCTTTGGCCAAATACATAATAATATGCCTATGTGATTATGTGATTGTTTCCCCTTATGGCATAATGCATGACATAATTTTATATGATTAGAGGATGTCTTGAAGTATTGTGACATATCACATTTTGCAAAACTTGATCAACATGATAATTATAGTTTATTGCTACTGAGGGGTTGGATCAAGCAAGGAGAAAGGAAAGGAATTCACTTTGGAAGAGGATTGAGCTTGATGCCATTAAAGTTATGTTTTGTAATTTATTATGTATTGTTATGTATAATTGTGAACGATGTTAAAATATTGTATTAATGATTAAAGAATCATGTTTAAGGGTCAAGTTTGACCAACGAAATTTTGTGCAATTGGTTGAATTTTGAACTGAAATTTGATAGGGTTATAAATCATATTTTTAGCTTTAAAACAAATGGTATTTCATTAAATTTGGAACTTTCAGGGCATAAATCCTGAAAAATTAAAAAATGACCAAATAAACATTATCACTTTGAACGAAATCTAGGATTGATGGATGAGTTCTGAATGCCAATGAGTATTTTTCCTTTAAAGAGCACATCAAGAGTTGTTCATAGAACTTGGAACCACATCGTTTTGATTTTTCTAAAATTAATTATAAATTTTTATAATGAATAGTAACATGAATTTAAGAAAATTGAAGATTCAAATTCTTCCAACTTAAGGCCATAAAAAATGATCCAAAATGGTTTCAATTAAGATAAAATGAGATTTAAAATTAAGGTGTTACACTAAATCCATAACCAATAGCGACCTAGCCCACCAACTCAGGCTACCCCATTGTTATTTTTTAAATTTTTTTATTACATTATTATATTTTATATTCTATCTAAAACATTAAAAAAAATACATCTATAATTTATTTGGTGTTTTTAATCAAGTATTTGAAGAAACAAAATTTTCATGATATTTTATTTATATTGTATGAGGAAAGCATGTTTTAAAAAAAAAAAATCAACCCATTAACCCATCATGGAGGCTTAGATTAACTAGAAACCAACCCGTGATTAGTTCAAAGCCTTCGTAACCTTCATCGTCTAACCCTAACTCGTTATGGGTCAACTTGTAACCCACGAGTTGGGCCATTTTCCCGTTGTGCTTACCTTCACATTTCCCTTTTCTTTTTTAAAAAAAAAAAGTATTAAGTCACGAAACATAGTTCATTCATCTTACTTGATATGATATTTTAATTAATAGTTTTATTTAAATATTAATTTTTTATAGTTAAATATAAACATTTGTATACAGTTTAATTATATGATATTACTTTAATCATGACTAGTCTTATACAATTTGATCCTAATTTTAACCACTGACCTTTAAATCATAATCTCGACCGTACCAATTTATTTTTGGGAGAATGATAACAAAATTTCAAGAAAAGAATACAAGTACTAAAAAATTTCAATAACAATTGAACAACTTATAATTACAAGTTTTTGAAAAATAAAAAGACAACTTTTAACTTGTTATTATGACCTTTTGATGGTTATATCCCTTTCTTGAGATCTCATTATAATTCTTCCTGCAATTTTTAGTACTATGCAAATATAACAAGCATAAACCATCAGCCTCAAGCAAAGATGCTTTTTGATAAATCACCAATTCACCATTGCATGATTAAAATAAAAGCTTAATAAATATATAAACCCAATGAATCCCATATAACAAGAGTTTCAGCTTTGACAAAATTGAGTTAAAAAATGTGCCAACAAAAATTAGTCCAATTAGCAAGCGCTTGGCTCATCCACAAAAACGTGGACTTGACTGTTACTGCTAATAGTAAAATTTATTGGTGAGTAACTTGTAAATATATCCGTAACTGCTGTTTTAGCTTGTATGATCTATCGTCACTCATGCATCTTTGGAACCCAACTTATTAGATTTTTTTATATTTTATTTTTCTAAAACAAGAACAAAACTTCAAATTATAATTCTCTTCTGCTGCTTGCAAGATCGCTCGCAATATCTTGATCCTGCTCACATGCTTCCAAGTATTTGCGATAAGCGGGTTTGTAAGCAACAAGAAGACGCAGATACTTGGCAGCTTCATCCTTTTGACCAGCATCATGTAGAGCGCTAGATGCCCAAATAATCATATAGAATGAGTAAACTAGCAATTGGCGTTGTTTTAAGTAAAGCTTCAACACTGACGCAACTACCTAAAGTCTTACCTCGCCAGCAATAGTAACCCGTCAAAGTAATGAGCTTTGCAGCCTGGATCTTCGGGTTCTTCCATATTTGCAACTCTTTCGAAGTGTGCAAGTCCTTCAGCCCTCTTTCCCTGCCCAAGAGAAAAATTTTGTCAAGGAATCAGAATGCACTTAATCCTCGCAATCTTTTGAAGGATGCAAGTTCTAAACTTGTCCACAGTTGTCCAAAATTGTCCATAACAACCAATGGTTAGGTAATAACAGCTTTAACATGCTCTAGGTTATTAATTTAGTGACGCATTGGTGGGTCAGATGCCCATAGGTTTTGAAACCCATGCCATCAGCAGAATTTTTCCCCCTTCCTCCGTTTTTCTGAAGGATTGTCAATTTTCATTCAGGCAACATAGACATTCTACACAAAAGGTTGTTCAATATTGTGTCCAATAATCTACATATCCAAGCCAGTTCCAGAATTGGCTAAGAGCTTTAAACAAATTTGACGGATGAACTTCACCTGACGTTCACAGGCAACACCAGCCCATTGGGATGCAAGAATTAGAAGATCAACATCTTCCACTTCAGTTGGCTGGCCATCAAGAGTAAGCTAGGCAAAAACCAAGCAACAACCAATGATCAAGGAAGCAAAAAATTCAAAAATTGTAATAGAGCAAAATTTTATAGAAGAGAAAGGAAAACGGAGGCAAGTGATAAGTTAATAAATATTGCATCGCACATGCACAAACAAGGATTTCAAATTACTGGATTAGATATGATCAAGTTACAAGATATTGGCCAAGAAAAGTACGACAGATATTAAGTGTTCTATAATAATTCAGAGTCTCCCTGACAATAATTTCAAAGCACATCAGATTAAATTTTACTTTATAAGTGACATTAGTAATTAAAAATTGAAATTGAAAATTAGAATAACATTTTTCCCCCCAAAAATGGAGCAAAGCAAAATTTAAACCTTCGAAATTGCACGCTTGAAGTACTCAGTAGCCTCAGCATTTGATTGCTTCTGCAATAGAAGCTGCCCCATTAAAACCAAAGCTCTAACATATTCAGGATCCTTATCAAGTGCCAGTCTGCATATGGAAGTTATGAATACAATGCATAAAACAGACATGGAGCTTAAGAAAAAGATCACTTGGGTTTAGTAATCAATTTTTCCCACTCTTTTCTCATTCAACTAGGATTTTTCAAGTTTGAGAAAGAATAACTGACTTTAGTAAGAGAATGGCGCTCTCTCTGTCCCCACCAGCTAGAACATGAACTGAAAACTGTCAGCCAGTGAAACCATAAATGTATGAGAAATTCTTCATTCATAATAGGATCTTAGTAACACATAAAATTGTGTCTTCAGCCACTCACAGCAGTTAGTTCTTTGGGAGCTAAATTCTCAGCAGGTATTCGGAACCATTTTTCAGGTGAATCAAGAGTTGTTTTGGTTTCCTCAGAAACTGTTAAAGAACTGTTCTTGTCTTGTAACCCCTGTGAACCCAGGACCGCAATTTCAGGAGCACTAGATTTCTCAGAAACCATTTTTTGACTACTCTTGTCTTGTAGCCTCAATTTGGCAAGGATGAATGGATGTCTCAATATGAATTGCTGCAAAGTTTATGTCATAAACATTCTTCAAGGCTACTTGCAAAACATTGCATCAAACTACATCATAACGAAGGAAAAACAACCTTTGGCATCTAACCTGAACGATGTTTAGAGAACTATTTGTAATCCAATAGACCAGGCTTCCCTGCAAGAATGGAGAACGCAAACTACAACCTTCATCACATGGCAAGAGAGTGAATAGTAATTTGTGAAGGAAATATTGGCTTATATTATAAAATTTCTACATCTTCCGCAATAATAAATCTCAATTTTTCTCATTAAAAAAAAAAATCTATAGTTTCTACAATGTCTCGAATTAAATGTCCTGTAAAATTTACAGAAGGAAATTACTGAGCTCTGAAGTGCACTTTTACTCACAATCTAGATTGTTTCCCTCCCGCAGTGCATGGGAGAAATGAAAGATATAGTAATTTAAAATTAAATTAAAAGTTCCTCAAAGTTTGTGCCGATTTTTTATATTCAAGCCTTGTTAAAATGTGTGGAGAAAGATTGAAGGAATATGAAGTGAAAAGAGGCACGAAGCATAACAAAGTAATTTTGTGACGGGAGCCACACAATTCGCAACTTGTGAATTGTGTTGTTCCCTACAGCTTTTATATTTTACATTGATTGATGTTGACGATGCCAGCAAAGTGCTCTTCTCTATTTGAAACACGCATAGAAAATCAAACAAATTTTCACCAATTTTATCTTTAAGAATGGTAAGACAGAATGCAAGAAAAGATCATATACAGATGAATTAGTGCAGGGGCTAATGAGTTTAATCAGAAAGGCCACTGATAAAATGTAATGGCACTTATCAAAAGCAGAATCCTCACAGCTCCTTGTGATAATCAGCCTTTCATATCTTTGTTAGGTGAGATTCACATTACGAAGTCAGAAGAATGGTAACCGAAGGGTGCACTTGGACTAAACATCTAAACAATTTTTTTCAAATAAAATGCCAAAATATATTAGAGAACCAAAAACGTACACAACAAACACCATCCTACCGACAAAAAGTGAACATATCAAAGTTACCTGAGGAATAGCAAGCCCAATAAAAAATATGGGTAATGTAAGAAACCTCAAGTACCCCTCGTAAAGCTGCAGTAACAAAGAGAATTGTGACCAGCTGCAGGAAATATTGTGTTCTATTCCATGAATTGAAGAACTACCCTTGACAGACTCATCTAGCAGTTCGCAAACTAAGAAAATCAGGTATCAGCTCCATTTTTGGACAAGGAAATGTTATGTAATAGTAACGACAGAAATGCTACACAAGTTACATGTACTCACATCTGCTAGCAAGGCAAGAATACCACCTGCTTTTCCAATTAATTTTTTCTGAAAAGATATCTGACAAATCAGTTAAATAAAACGTTAGCACATATCATATCACAAATTTATTCTTGCCCTTAGGGAAGTAAAGGAACTGAATAAAGGGGTATAAACATGCCCGAAAAGATTTCTTTTTCTTTTTCTTAAAAAATGTCCTACAATACATCCATCCAGCAGATAAGCCAATAATTGCAGGCACAAGTTGAATTGAGACCAATCAACTGTAAAGGCTTTTCAGAAATATTCTTCAAGTATTAAAAAATACAAGCAAGCAAAAATGATATAATTTCTTGTGCCAAGCAAGCCATGAATCACTAAGGTGCTAGCATCATCCCCTGAATGACAGGATTGCAAACAATGGATCCAGTTCATTTTTAAATGTATGATGGAGTTAAGGTAGAGCACAAGGTAAACAGATAAATCAGTTTTCAGGGTGAATTCCCACCCGTATGGATACAGTATTCCATTACCTGAACATTAGCATAGTGCAAACCAGATATCAATGAAGGGAAGATGAAACCTAACCAACCGTGAGGGAGTGCTGTTAAATCTTGGAACCATACAGCACCACCCTGCAAGAGAAGTAATATTTCTAAATTCTTCGGCACCAAATGAAAGTCTCAGAACACACCATGCATATGTGTAGACGGTAAGATATAATTTCTCTCCAGCAATTTCTCAAAATAAGTCTAATCACTTATGCTAGATGGTATGGCATCCTTAAAGCTAGGCTTTTATCATTTCATAATCTGTCACATGAATCCTATCCATTTGAATTGGATCTTTGTTGATTATACATGCTCATAATAGCGACTAACTCAAGCAACATCACAACCATATCATTTTTTGACTTTTTCTTATAGCAAAATTTGAAAATTACAAAAAAAAACATGCATTCTTGTCTTTAAGCCTTACACAGTCAAAACCAGGGTGGTCATCCAGTGACATCCTCCGTATGCTAACCATCCACAAGAAAAAACATGGAACCTGTAGATGAATTGAAAAAAGGTGAAAAAGTTATAGGATGAAATTTAGTCACATGGCACTGTAGCTGTGTTGCTTCATCCATCCATAGTTTATTTCTTCTGAAAGATGCAACATATTATAATCTTCTAAAACATCCTTTAAATGACATATCTGCCAAGTTATTTATGGATAGATGCTAAGACTCTGTGTTGACAAAATTGAGACTTCCAATCTTCTTATACGTAACCCATCCCCCATCCATCCATCCGTAATTCCAAATTCTCATTAGTCTGTTATTTTCTCCTAAATTCTCTCCTTGTGCAAAATTGAGTAGTATGATTACATACACCAATCTTACAAGAGAAATTCCCCATTGACCAGATAAAGATAGATTTTGATATTCACCTTCTGATTTCACTTAGAAATTAATATTTTAAATTGCTTTTTTATTTAAATCATGTGTTTCTTTCTTTTGCTTTTTCTATCTTTTCTTATAGTTTTGGCTCCTGTGTATAGTCGTTTGGTAGTTTATTTCAGACAAATGTGATGACTATTCATTACGGGTGTTTAAGTCTCCCCAAACTGCATCTCCCTCTGGTTTCTTCTCCCTTTACAATCCCTCTGTTTCTTGTCTCCCTCAAATCCCAGTTTCTATTTTTCTCTCATTCTCTTACTTCTCTGACTCTTTTCCCCGTCTGTCCAGCATCAATGAATCATGACATTATCCGTTAATGCAAATGCAGTCATAATAGGAGGCGAAGAGGACCAGAATTATCATCAAATGTTGAATATCTACAATTTTACACACAAAAGACGGGAAGATCACATATTGTCTGCTACCTCCTGTTTTTGATATAAAACCCAGTTGATTAATTTGGGAAAATTAAGGAAGTTACTAAATTACTTAATTATAGCATGTTATATGATTTCTCTAAAATACTTATATGTATTGTTAGATTATATATCAATTTATAAGTAAGACAAATTAGTTTGGAAAAAAAAGATAAATATAAATACTATAAAATAATTTAGAAACTTTCTTAATGTTTTCAAATTAATCAACTAAGTCTTATATTAAGAACCAGAAGTAGTATTAATTTTGAGACTCTAGATCTACTTTATTTGTCATGTTCTGAATATTAAAATTTTACACCAAACAATATTATTTTTGGGTTACCGATCATATATGCATTGGTTGGTGTTTAAACTTTGACGGTGTTGGTGTAGGCATAATGAAAATTATTTTCTTTTTCATATTCAATGACATTTTTCCCTTAAAAAATAGATATATCACCTGGACAGTCAAGAATGACAGGTGCCAAAAAAGTGAGGGGCATCCAATTGCTTTTCTCTCCTTCTCAAATAGTGAAAACTGGGCCTTAAAACTCCTATTTGACATAGGTGGCGGGAATGGAGGAGGCACTTTTAAGAAATGAAAGAGTCAAACAAAAATTAATAACAAAAAATAAATTTAGCAAGTTGCCAGTTACAAGGAAGGAAAAAGATTTTTCCACTAATGCTATACATATATAAAGGCCATAGCCTTCACTCTCAATTCATTGTCATGATAAAATTAAAGAAAGTACACTTTCAAAGTGGAGTACAGTCATGCCAAAAATCAAGAGAAGCCAAATCAATAGCCTTGCATGCATGGTGTGCAAATACAAAATTTATATGACCGCTAGACAATTGTTACGACACTTAGTATTCAGATGCAAAAATATTAGCCCTTACCACATGCATTCAGTAAAGCAGGGGGAAAATGCTGATCACTACTTGCAAAGATGGCAAGACTAGAAAATACGAGTCCACTAAATACAAGATGATGTCGCAAGCTACTCAGGATGACTAAGCTAATCAGGGGCAATCAATTCTATAAAAGTGCAAAGTGAAATATTAACCACTTACACCTAGGGAGAAACTCGACCATCCTTTGTGTCTTGTGAAGTTGAAGAATTAGCACCGGAAGTATTACGAATCTGAGAGCCAAGGTCGAGGAAGCTATGACTATCCACCTGGAAACCAGTTATTCAATAAGGTGTTGAAGTTACAAAATTGAACAATGATACAATCAGAAATCAGAATTTTAAGGATTAAAGAACGAATTGCAACATTAATGAAACAAAATATCGAAAGAAGATAGTGAAACATAAAGATTTGACAAAATCAATTCTTGTTCATAGTCTGTACTGGAAATTTCATCCACCAATAACCAAATGTCAACAGGGCTCACCATGGCAATCCAGTGAGATCATGAAATCCATCAAGCATCGAGATCACAGCTTGAACAGGGAAAACACAGTCGTTCCTGTTGGTGACACCAGCAGCCACTTGCTCAATGCCATTGGAAAGCTCTCGCAAAACAAGTGGATCACTACCCAAGTCATCACCGAGTTGTCCAAGCTCCGAGTCATCTTCAGGAAAAGAAGTCGAATAGGCACATGAGGAAAAGGCACCAAGAACCGCCAAAGAGTTCAAGGGCATTAGATAGTGAGGTTTGTAAGTATCATATGGAGGCGGAGGCCGTGATAGCGGCGACAGTGGCATTGGGTTCGGCGAAGATGTAAGGTGCTTAGCATTGACGAGTTGCAATAAAATGGGGAGAGAGGAGGAGAGACGACGACCGCGGAGGCAAGCAGAGAGAACGGAGGTGGCCATAGAAAGGGCAGGTGGCTATATCTCCCCTAGTCCCATCTAAGTAAGAAAATGAAGAAATCTCATTGGCAATAAGATGCACAGCATTGTCGGCTACCTTGCAACGGCATCAAGGAACAACAAAGGGAAAATCACAGCAACAAGATTTTGAAGCGCCAAGAAGTAAAATGAGGGGAGCAGGATAAAGAACTTAGTTTCACAGACCAGAGATGAGAGAGTGATAATGAGCAGGCACAGAGAGGTGGCTGGCAGGTTTCTGTGCGGCGGGAGGTGCCTGCGGCAACTCTACAAGACAAAGGAGACTACTGCAGCAGAGGTTAGAGATGATACTTGATGGGGAAAATAAAAAAGTAAAAAAAGATTGAAAAGTAAATTGTCGCGGGGAAAATTGCAATAAGATCTTACTTGAGAAATAAATGCAAAATGGTCTCTTGAAATCATCACATCAATCCGACGTTCCAAGGAATCTCCTTACAAGAGATTCAATTTGTTCAATTACTAAAATACTTATCTCATGTATCAGACTTTGAGTATGAGCACACCCCATAGGCACAAAAATGTAACTCTAAACATCTTAATTTGGTTGAAACATGTAGTGTCACCACCACACACCAACTTCCCAAGGTGTCTTCGATTAGCATGAAAACTAAAAATGTAACACCAATCACATAGTCGACTAGTGCCCAATATAGCTACAGTAAACATCAGATATAGAGACACTTTGCGAACAGCATGAACAAATGCCAATCATCCAAGCATTGGGGGAATAATGAGTAGTTCTGTTTCTTCATTAAATAGCTGTAGGATCAAGCAACCCGCTAGAGTAAATAAGTTCAATATTAGATTATATCATCACCAAGCCAAAAAAAAAAAAAAAAAACTGCGAGAAACAATTAACGAAAATCGCAGTAGTGAAAATATGCAACACAACAAATAGTATACAATACAGAGGAAGTTCTACAGATTAGCAGAAAACTCCTTTACTGTAGCAAAATCGCACCAGACAAAGGCAAGAGACGAAGGAGCAGAAAAGGAGTCTACAGCAAAAACATCGAGGAAAGAGCGAGTTCTACAGTAGCAGGAGAGTTGTCCTGATGAGTAGAAAATGGAATCTTACCTCATCGGCGATAGGATTCGCCTCTTTGGCACCTCCAGTTCTCCCACCAGCGCTCCTCACCAAGGCAGAAGAAACCTCTCGACAGCTTTGGTTAGGGTATGGTCGAGTAGATCGATGAAGGGAACGGGGTTTGAGGGGGAAATTTCAGGTATGATTGAGGGTAAATATGTATTTTCGTTTTTCATTTCCGTACTGAAATGATTAATTAACGAGGTTTAAATATTTGATCAATTGATTAATATTTGAAAACTGCAATAAAAAACATTAAAAATTATGAAATTATAATTTGGACTCTTAAATTAATAAAATTGCACGTAACACTAAATCCTAAGTATCAATTATGAAAAGCTGTCTAAAAGACAAAAATATTCTCATGTTAATTTGAGTTAATGAGTTCCAAATCCTAAGTATCAATTATGAAAAGCTGCCTAAAAGACAAAAATATTCTCATGTTAATTTGAGTTAATGAGTTCCAAGTTGAACGAAAAGAATTGTTAATTGTTATTTTTAATTAAAGAGTTGTTATTTCAAGAAAGGTTAGTTATTAGTTAGCGAGTTTGCAAAACTTATTATTTTCTAATGAAGATTTATCATTGGCCGCTAACAAAATATTTTTTATTAAAAGTATGCCAATAACAACACACATTGGACATAATAACATTTTTATTACACATAACAAACACTTTATTATAAAAATATAATTGTCAGTAACAAGTCTTCATTAGGAATAGGGTTAAGGTGCAATTTTAACAATTAAGTTTTGCGTCAAGAGCATCTGGCACCGTTTAATTTTGAAGGGTGCAAAATTAGACATAATCATTCAAAAGAGAGCAACTTAAGCACTCCCGTTAAAATGCAGCAACGGCCGTTTCTTTTCCTCAAGGTGGGTCCCATTAGTTGTCATTCTGTTCTCTCTCTTGGTCAGTCTTCTTTCACTTCATTTTTTTTTCTTTTTTTAATTTTGTTATATGTCAGAATGCTCTCTACTCTCCAATGACATGCCCCCTCCACTCCTTATTATAAAAGACATTTGATGCCTATGACATGTTTCCATATATAAGGGACACTTAAAAGTTGTCTCTATTTTTTTGTATTGATTTTCTATTTTACTCCTATTTATTTTGTCTCCAACTCATACTCTCTCTCCCTCCCACTTCTCTGTCTTTTAATAATTTAATTGTTCTCTCTCATACTCTCTCTCCTTATTAATAGGGGCATTGTTGGAAAAAACATTATACTCTCTCCGTTCCTTATTATAAGAGACAAATAACCGAAGTACGTTGATAAAAAAAACAGTTAAAATTAGTTAAGAACAATTAATGTGTAAAAAGTATAATTTTTTTTAAAAATGCCCTCATTAATAAGGAGAGAGAGCATGAGAGAAAACAATTAAATTATTAAAAGAAAGAGAAGTGGGAGGGAGAGAGAGTATGAGTTGGAGATAATAAATATGGGTAAAATAGTAAATCAACACAAAAAAGTAGAGACAACTTGTAAATGTCTCTTATATATAGGAATATGCCATAAGCATCAAATGTCTCTTATAATAAGGAACGGAGGGAGTATCCCTCCCATAAAAATTTTATCTCTCCTCTTTCTCTCATCACCTCATATTGTTTTAATAATATCACTCTTCAGTTCCTCGTCCTTTTTCTTGACATGTTAGAATTAACTCTTGCTTTCTCTCCTATCCATCTCATTGTTATCTCTGCTTCACTAGAGACGATTGCCAACAACACTCTTGGTTTCCCTTTGGCTACTTTCTCAAGCATTACTTTCTTAGGCGAGCACAAAAAAACAGGCCTCTACCATGAAACTTCATCATCCTCCATAAAGCTCCAAGCATCAACCTTCCTCACCGATGGCCACCCAATTCTCACCCAAGTCCCACCAAACACTACTGCAACCCAAACCAATGATGTTACTAGCATCGATTGCTTCATCTGCTTCGACGCCAACCAGCCCACAACCATTGCCACGTGGTTCCCATAGGAAACTCAGTGGGATTATGTTTATAAGCATTTTCAAATTCAAGTTACGGAGCACCCAGCGAGTCAAACTAAAGGAAGCAATGTGAAGAATCAAACCCAAATGATGATGCTTGAGAATTATGATCATCCCTACGTCCTCCTTCTTCCCCTCAACGAAGGACCTTTTAGAGCTTCTCTGCAACCCAGTCTTAGAGAGTGGCTCCATACATCTCTCTGGTTCTACGCTAAAAGAAGTAGTTGTCTATACATCCAGTGGGAGATTATCAATGTCACTCAATCGTCATGAGCTTGTCGAACTTAACCGCCGAAAAACTCTAACTCATTGCTTGTAGATTCAAGATGCTCACTTGTTGAAGAGTAACAGGGAAAGAAAGATGAGAGGCAGAGGTAGATAAGGGGAGATGAGAGACCGGAATTGAATATGGGTTAATGGGAGAGAGAGTTTGAGAATCTTAGGGAGGGTAACAAGACACCTGTCAACTGGAGAGCAAGTTTGAGGAAAAAATGACGGAGAGGAAGATGACTAATGAGGAGAGAGAAGAAATAAGTGAAAAAAGTGGGACCCATCTTAAGGAAAACAAATGGCCGTTTACAATTTTTAACGAGAGGAGTGAAATTGCTCTCTTTTTAAATGATTATGTCTAATTTTGCACCCTTCAAAATTAAATGGTGCCAGATGCTCTTGACGTAAAACTTAATTGTAAAATTGCACCTTAACCCTTAGGAATAACAAGTGTTAAAAAGCTGTTCACCTTAACTTAATTTAGAACATAAATTAACATTATTTTTATAATTTAGTTTAACTTAATTTAGAGTATAAATTAACATTATTTTTATAATTTAGTTGCCAATGACAATCCTTCATTAAGAAATAATAAATGTTGAAAAGCTATTCACTTTAACTTAATTTAAAACAGAAATTGACATTATTTTTATATTTTCGTTGCTAATTGTCGCATCCTACATTTTAAGCTACTAAAAAGAGAAACTTAGAACTGACTAAGGACCAGATAAGATAGAAGAAACTAGATGAAACAATTTTTAATGTAAAACCCTAGCAAGAACCAAATTGCAAATTTGAAAGTTTTGGTTTAGAAAGGGTATTTTTGGAAAGTGCATCCGAAATTCCTCAAAATTTCTAGAAATTCATTAAAAAAATAGAGAAAAAGGCTTAAAGGGTATTTGATGCTTAAAAGTGAAAATATGATGAACATAATTTATAAAAGAATTTTTATTTATTTCTGAGAATTTTGGCTGATTAAGAAAAATTGGTTAAAATCAATTATTTTAGTTACATGGAGGCCTCAAATGATTAGATACAAATGAGAGAAAATTAGTTTGGAGATTATAAAAGATTGTAAACTTGTCCCCATCCTTTGGAACTGAAGACGTTGACTTTAATAAAATTTGAAGCCGAATTTCTCTAAAAAGGGTACCCAAGAAATTTTTAAAAGAGAAATCTAATTTGTTATTTGTAACAAGAATGTTATTATTTCCAATGTAAGTGTTATTAATGATATACTATTAGTGAAAAACATTTTGTTAGTGGCCAATGACAAGTCTTCATTAGAAAATAATAAGTGTTTAAAAGCTATTCACCTTAACTTAATTTAGAGCATAAATTGACATTATTTTCATAATTTATTTGCCAATGACAATCCTTCATTAAGAAATAACAAGTATTGAAAAGCTATTCACCTTAAATTAATTTACAACACAAATTGATATTATTTCATATTTTAGTTGCTAATTGTCGCATCCTACATTTTAAGCTACTAAAAAGAAAAACTTAGAACTGACTAAGGGCCAAATAGGATAAAAGAGACATAGATGAGACAACTTTTAAAGCAAAATACTAGCAGAGACCAAATTGCAAATTTGAGGAGTTTCGGTCTAAAAAGGGTACTCTTGGAAAGTGTATCCGAAATTCCTCAAAATTCCTGGAAATTTATGAAAACAATAGAGAAAAAGGCTTAGAGTAGTATTTGATGCTTAAAAGTGCAAATATGATGAAAGTAATTTATAAGAGAATTTTATTTAATTATGAGAATTTTGGCTAATTAAGAAAAATTAGTCAAAATCAATTATTATAATTACATGGAGGCCTCAAACGATGAGACAGAAATAGGAAAAAATTAGTCTGGAGATTATAAAAGATTGTAAAATTATCCCTTACCTTTGAAACTGAAGAGGTTGACTTTAAAAACATGTAAAGCCGAATTTCTCTAAAAGAAGGATCCAGGAAATTTTTAAAAGAGAAATCTAATTTCTTATTTGTAAAAAGAGTGTTATTATTTCTAATGTAAGTGTTGTTAATGGTATACTATTGATGAAAAATATTTTGTTAGTGGCCAATAACAAGTCTTCATTAGAAAATAAGAAGTCTTGAAAAGCTATTCACCTTAACTTAATTTATAGCATAAAATGACATTATTTTTATAATTTAGTTGCCAATCACAATCTTTCATGAAGAAATAATAAGGGTTGAAAAGCTATTTACCTTAATTTAGAACAAAAATTGATATTATTTCCATATTTTAGTTGTTAATTGTCACATCCTACATTTTAAACAACTAAAAAGAAAAATTTAGAACTGACTAAAAGCTAGATATGATGGAGGAGACATAGATGAGACAATTTTTGAAGT